AAAATATTTTATTAATTATTTTATTATAAGAATATTTTAACGACACAGTATTATACGAATCGGTTACTTGTTCACGACTGACTCTTGCTTATTCTACGTTCTTGTCTTGGCGACGCAGTCGCTTACAAAAAAAAATATACATATTGCTGACATTACTATATTATTGTATAATATGCTTATTAATCTAAAGTGTGTGTGCAAGGGTTCCTAACAATACAAATGAAGAATTATTTACAACCACATGATATAAATTAATATTTATTTTCTCTATACTTTCATAGTGAGTCATTTATGACTATTGTATATTTTTTTCCTCTGGAGAGTTGAGCCTCGGGACCCTCTTTCCACTGAAATTATGCCATTGGCTTATAGTATATATAAATATTTTTTTAAAGTACACTTATGTCCCAATTAAATTGATATAAAGGAAAAGTACGTCCCATATTCTTATAATAGAATTAACTTAATTCTCACTTTGTCACAATAGTCAAAGTTATAATTAGCATTTTGCCTGTTAATTTTTTTTATTAGAATCTCAACAAAAACCCTGATTATGCAACCATGTTTCGAAGTAGACCTTTGAGATTCGTTTTACCAGTGTACAACGATTCTACTACAAGTGATAACGCACGAAATAGTTATCATTATGTATGCCCTCAAAAGCTATGTGATCTGGGTTGTGAAACCCCCAGGATTAATGACCGCAAAATTGGCAATAAGTACAGATTTTTCTATGCAATATCGTCTGACGTTGATGCTAAGAACCCTGGAACGGTAAATAGTATTAAAAAACTTTTACTAAAAGTGGACAAGAATAATATACGCATAACACGGAATTTTACTTCAAATTATGATTTGTGTTTAGCTTATTAAAGTGGATACCTACAAGAAAACATGCTCAACGTGGAGTGAACGGAACATATATCCCAGTGAACCAATTTTCGTCTCTTCACCAGATGCTCAAGTACTTGTATAAATTGTGCTTGTTGTATTTTAGTCTATACAATTATTATGAAATAATTGGTATGAATATATTCGTATAAATACTATTTTATATTATCAGCACACAGTATTTTCAAATATATATATATTATCATAAGTTACAATTTTATACAGAATAAAAGTGAAAATAAGTGAATATGTGTATTTTAGTAGGTAGATATTGATTACATACTTATCCAACTTACAGTAATATGTTACAAATTAATACTGTTTATTAACTGTATGTTTAATGTAATGAACTGTAAAAAATTATAGTATTATTATTTGACAAAATAATAAAATAATAATGAACATTTGTAATTGGTATACAGGGCGAGGATGACGGTGTGGTGTTATCATCAATAATATGGGGAGGAACTGAAAACACAAATCAAGCTGGAGTAGTGATTTTAGATGCCAAGAGCTGGACAGAGATAGGACGAGCTATATTTGTCACTGAGTCACCAGTGCCTAAATGTTTACATGGGTGGTTTGCCGATGGAGTATAAAAATATATAAATGACTATCCATAATTACTATCAGTATTAATATTGAAAGTATTATATATATATATATATAATATACATTGTCAGTGGGTAGATTATTACTAGAGCAGAGGACTTGTAGCATTTGCATATTTTTTTGTACAGTCACGAAAATAGCAGAGTGCGAAACAAATACGTTTCATGTTTTCACAAAGCTATTTTTGAAATTTTATTCTGCATAAAATGCATATTTTGCGTTTTTTTTTTGGTGTTTATGGCATATTTTCTTCCATTTTATACTTTTAGATGCATATTTTAAATAATTTATTATTTATCAATATTTTTTCGTGACCTTATAAAGTAAACATAATGTAAATACTTAAATACCTAAATAATTGTAAATTCACGTCGAAGTACCTTCAATGGACGGTTTCTTCCTTCAAGGCACTCAAGCTATTGCACTTAATTTAAAAAAAAAACATACATTATGCTTATTGTACTTTTTTTTGGTATAGATTGTATAAATTCTTGATTAAAATTAAAAAAAAAAAAAAAATTTTCGTAGACGTTTTTATTAATTTATTTATACAAACAAAATAACGTTGAATTTAAAATTATTTTAAATTTTGATCATAATATTTATATGGTTTTTGACTTTTCCCAGGCCCATCATCGTGTTTCTAAAAACACGTCTCGAGAGTTGTCGATTAGATTTATTATTGGGTTATTAATTTTATTTATAAACAAATGAGATAATATTGTTCAACGCACAAAATATTGATACGGACCACGGAGACACCTGTCGCCGACATCGGACATATTCATATTTCGGTAATCGCTGTGTTTCTCAACGGTTAAACAGTCCTATTTACTATTTATTAAAAAAAAATGCCTAAAGTAAGTATCCAGACAAGAAAACCTATAAAATAAACCAAATTAATTAATTGTAACTTGTAAGTTGTTAAATACAATTGTAAATAAAATGTATTCATTATAATAAGTACCTACAGAAAAATTCTTTGTTTAAATTTTTTGTTTAAAAAAATTCATTTTAAAAAGCATATTTTGTATATTTAAGTGCATATTTGGTGAATTTCTAGAGCTACAAGTTCTTTGCCCTAATTATTACTTATTTCACTTCTTTAACTTTGGCATAAAATTGACCAGACACCAGACGCCAGTCAATCCAAGATTATGATGATCTCCCAAGGAAAAAAAAAACTATCAAGATTAGGTCCTTCATGTTTATATATAAATTAATATACTCGTATGCAATAAAAAAATGAGATTAAACTTTGTCATTTAATTTTAAAAATTAATAATTATTAATAAAGTTCTACTTTTAATTAATAATTTACTTTTGTTATTTTTTAATAATGTTTTATCATTTTGTCCTTTCGAAAAATTCACCACCACTCTCAATTATAGTGCTAGATCTTCTCCTGATGTTGGTGTCTTATTGTTTAAAACTTGTACGGAACAATTATCACAAAAAAAAAAAAAGTCTGAACGGATAAAACATAATAATCATCGTCAAAAAAACGTCACGATGTGCGTATACCGGATAGTGTACAACGCGTTATCAACAATATCAATAGTGAAACCGACGCGGCGGAGAATTTCTGTCGAACAACAAAAAAGACGACGGCGAGACGGACGCGAATCCACGGGACGGAGGCGATGGCCTGTGATGGAAGTCGAAACGCGTAGCGGACGCGGCGTTCACGTTCTCCCGGTGGCTGAACGGGTACATGATCTTGGACGGTTGGCCGAACGCCGCGATTTCGGACCGGACGACGCTGCTGTGCGACCCGCGGTCTTGGTGTTGCGAGAAGTCCGCGGCCACGAACCAACCGGTGTGCCTGGACAGCAGTTCGAGCGTGAACACGGCTGCGGCCATCGAGAACCCGCACACTACCACCGCGTACGTGGTGTATAGGTCCGAGTTCCGGAGCTGCCGTTCCTTGTTTCCCAGATTCAGTGGGCAGATGACCGCCTCTGGCAAGTCCTTGGTTTGCAAATGTTTCACGATTCCCGACTCCATATACGACATCATTCTGCACCATAATATATTATTATTATTATTATTATTATTATTATTACAGGCACCGCCGACATCTATCAATCATATTAAATAATGTTATACTATTTCAGTGACACACGTGCTCGGTTATACACACGTAGACTTAGGAAGAACAACTTAGAGGATATTAAAACTATTTGTACTTAGAAATACCAAACAAAAGTTAATATTTTAATTAATTTTTTTCAGTAGAACAGTAATATAATTCATTATTGTAGCAGAATTTTAGATTTCAATAAATTATTAATTATAAAATGCAAACATACTGTGCAGTGACGCCTAACTACATTTTAGTGTAGCAAGTAAGAAAAAAATAGTACCTATTCGTATTCATTAGCGTATTTCCAAAAAGTGGAGACTACGACCTCCACACATTAACCCTCTATCCCCCTTCACACAATCAATTTTTATTTACAATGAACATTCATATTTGCAAAAAAAATGTCAAATTATATTATAGTATAAATATAAATAAAAATGAATTAATCTTAATTTTAATATGTATATTATGTATTATATTATATATATTGTGTATATATTATATTATATATATTATATATAGTGTATATTATGTATTATTTTAATACTTACATTAACATATAAATAAAACATCATATACACAATGAATTGTTTTTTTTTAAAAAAAACTATTAAATTATTTTTTATGATAGATGTTTAAGAACAGTACAATAAGTTGTAAGGGTTTTTATTATCGATTCATCATCAATATTAATATACATATATATCACATTATATACGCATAAGATTTGATTATCTTTGATTTAAAAAAGGATGTTTCATGAGAAGAACTTGACACCGGTAAAATTAAACATATTGTTAGATAAATTAATGGAAACATTTTTTTTAAACAATTTTGGTGGCACACATTAAAAAATACCGAAATGTCCCTTTAGTTTGTTGATAAGTTTAAATCTAATAGATCGATATCACTTTCAATATTATCATATGTTTCTATTTTTTCGTCGATCTCATCTGATTTGTGAATTTGTCTGGTAGCAGGGGTGGACTGGCCCGGGTGGAGAGACGGAGATATATGACTGGGCCGATAGGATTAAGAATAATTTGGGCTACCACTATCGTCTATTTACATCATAAACAAATATTGTTAGTTTTTTGTTATGAAAAATCGTATCTTAGACAAAGACAATACAATAATTATTTGGTATTAATGTAATTCAAACGCAACAGAAATTAATGTAAGAATATAGGTAGGTATGTATTAGATAAATATATATATATATATATAAAATTTAAACAATGTTGACTTAAGGTTAAAATTACATTAGAAAATATTATCCCACCAGTTCGTGTTTAACAGCCGACCGTGCAACACGTGTGCTTATCGCATTGTACGTTTTATAGCTTTTCGATAGCACAATAATCACGTCGACATTTGGAAAGGTAATATGCTTTAATTAATACTTAGCCTATCTGCCCATATCTACGCCATGAATAGAAATCCAACGGGCGTTTCGCCTAAAAATCCCACACATAATCGTTCAAATACATCTACTTCTAATATTTCTTACCCCACACTCAAAACCAAAAATGTTTCCTCACCATCTACTAATTCAACATCATCTTATAAATCTTCATATAATACTACGTCGTCTCTTCAATCAAACAAAAACATAGTAGTGACAGGCACCGACCGTAATACTCGCTGCCCCACCACCTCAACGACTAATCATACTACACGCATCGCAATCAAGACTTCTCCTCTACCCACCACTCTAACCACACCGTCCAGCGATAACACGCTCACCGCAGACACTATCGTTCCTCACATAAATATAAATACATCCACTAATGACCAACCGATAAACTCCTCATTAAATACTACGAACAATAGTATAAATTTCGCATCTGCTGTCGCTATGGAAAAGACGCCAAGCCGCGAACAAGCCTTAGTCTTCAATTCAATTGATGGTATACCTCAAAAAGAGTACATACTTGCAATTGGAAAAATTGTCTCCCCAAAAAATATTACATTTATTTCTAGAATTTCAAACAACCGCTTCTGTGTCTTCTTGTCCAGCAAACAAATACTTGATAATTTAATGCAAACAACACAATCAATAAATATCAACGACCAAAATATACCAATACGCAGATTATTAAACCCGGCCAAAAGATTCATTATATCCAACGTATGCCCTTCTATACCCAACCAAGCAATTACCGACGCCCTAAAAAACATAGATATATTGCCCATATCTCAAATTAACCACCTCAAAGCTGGAATCAATATTGAAGGGTACGAGCATATAATGAGTTTCCGTAGACAAATATACCTCAAACACGAAGACATTCCCAAACTCCTAAACTCGTTATTAATTACACAAAATGAGTCACAATTTAGAATCTTTTTCACTGACGATAAAATTACTTGTTTTTTATGCAAAGTTACTGGCCATACTACAAACAATTGTAAAAATAACGTTGATGATAAATCAAAAAATATGCCCATACCATCTAGTCCAAACAAATTAAACAAACACGAAGACCCGCCTATAAACCATACCGAATTAATGGAAAATACACCCCCTCCCACAAGCCCACAGCTTGATACACCTTTTGAAAAAACCGAAACTGATTGGACCGAAGACACTGAAGAAAACAAATTTTTTTCTTCAACCCTAAATCATCCCAATGATACACTGTCACATACCCCCAATGAAACACATAAAAGAATGATGTCAGATTCATCGTCAACTATACTCCTTGACTCCCCAAATATATTATTATCTTCATCCACTAACACTAAAAATGAAAAAACTATCAAGAAACCTAAAATACAATCCTGATCAAATTCTTCTAGCAGTCTGGATACAAACTTGGACGAAAATTTAAAACCTATTATCGAATACTTCACCACAAATGGCTCCTCACCAATCACTTACATACAATTTAAATACATCCTGGACAATTTCAACAACAAAGCAATAAATATCCACGCACTGATTGAAAACACAAACTCAGATATACCAACCGTAATGGACATAATCGAAAAAATTCGTCCAAACATAAAAGTCAAATCACTGAAATCACGACTAACAAAACTTTCAAATCTACTTTTTCAAACCCAACCGCTCAAATAAAGTTTAATCCAAATCTGAACACGCCCAATAAAACAAAACGAAAAATCACACAAACCTTAACTATATATTTTCTGTTATTGCTTACCATGGATAATATCATTCAATGGAATATAAACGGCTTAGCCAAACACAATATCGATATTCACCGATTAAAAGCCCTCCAACCAACCCCCCTCTGTTTACAAGAAACAAATTTACGACCTAATACCACCTTTACCATAAAAGGATACAAAGGATTTTTCAAAAATCGCCAAACACATCACCGTGCAAGCGGAGGAGTAGCAATTTTCGTCAACAATCTCATTGATAGCACCGAAATTCATATCCAATCCCCATTAGAAGTTATTGCTATCACTTTACACCTCAAAACTCCCTTATGTATTTGCAACATTTATTTACCTGATAGTACTAATCTTTTGCTTAATGATCTAAATGATATCATCAAACAATTACCCAAACCTTTTCTCTTTCTCGGCGACTTTAATAGCCGAAACCATATCTGGGGATCTAATCTTACTGATCCCAGAGGTAAAACCATGGAAAAATTCTTAGAAAATGATCAAATAACATTACTCAACACCGGGGAATACACACGCCACAATGCAGCCTACAACTCCTTCTCGGCCATTGATCTCACAATATCAAACAGTGCTTTCGCTCCTAAAACCGATTGGAAAGTCCTCACAGAATACAGCACCAGCGACCATTGGCCTATCTCCATAAAAATCCTTGACGAATCTCCTAAAATCCACCCACGCTCCCGATGGTGCCTCAAAAATCCAAATTGGAACTTGTACAGTGATATTATATCACAAAATCTTATTGAGAATCCAATTAATCTTCATCTCGCAACGAACCAAACTCAAATTAACTTGATCATTGACAAATTCTGCAACATTATATTAGAAGCCGCTAACAAGACTATTAGAAAAACAAATACACAACAAAAAAGAAAAAAAGTTCCCTGGTGGAATAAAGATTGTAATGACGCAATTAATTTATATAAACAAGCATTAAACAGATTCAAAAAAACCAAACTAATGGCTGACCATATAAACCTAAAAAAAACACGTGCCCAAGCTAGATTTATTACAAAAAAAAGTAAAACTGAATCGTGGCAAATTTACACCAACTCAATAAGCTCCAATACATCTCCAACTGAAATATGGAATAAAATCAAATTCATCAAGGGCATAAATCACCAACTACTTCCTCCCAATCTACTTTCCAACAATAATACACTCACACTTCCTTCAGATATAGCCGAAGCTTTCGCACTTCATTTCAAAAAAAATAGTGACTGCACTAATTATGACCCAGAATTCATAAATTTCAAAAATACTGTTGAAGATAATCTCAAAATTGAACTTGAAACCAATTTCCTCCAACACGACAACCACCTTAATGCGCCATTCAATCGAAATGAATTCTTCAATGCCTTATCTGGATGTAAAAGCAAAAGCCCCGGTCCTGACGAAATACCTTTTTCTTTTATACAAAACCTCCCCACAATAGGTCATGATCTCCTCCTCCAAATATATAATACCATTTGGGACAAAGGTATTTATCCTGACCAATGGCATAATGCGATCATTATACCAATTCCTAAATCAAATAAAAACAAATTCAATATTATCAACTACAGACCTATTTCTCTTATTAATACGCTTGCAAAAACCATGGAAAAAATGGTCAATAAACGATTCATTTGGCATATAGAAACATCCAACTTAATAACTAAGGAACAATGTGATTTCCGCAAAAACCACTCGACTATTGACATACTCTCCACTCTCCATACTGATATCTGTAATGCGAAAAATCAAAAACAACACCTCATACTAATATCTTTAGACTTAGAAAAGGCCTATGATATGGTATGGCGAAGTAGAGTCCTCAAAATCATCCAAAAAAGTGGCATTAATGGCAAAATGTTTCTATTCTTACAAAATTTCCTAAATTATCGCAAAATTCAAGTCAGAGCTCACGCAGAACTATCAAAAATTCACCAAACTGAAAACGGACTCCCTCAAGGATCTGTTATCAGTGTTACTATGTTTTTATTGGCCATCAACGACATTTTTAAAAATATTCCAAAACCCACAAAACACTTATTATTCGCCGATGACTGTCACATTTACTGCAGCGGACAAAACATCATAACAACAGTAGAAATACTACAAAACTCACTTAATCTACTCCAAGACTGGTCTCATAAAACCGGATTCAAATTTTCTGCTAGCAAAAGTCAATGTATTAGCTTTCACATTAGTCCTAATGCAAACATACAATTATATCTTAAAAATTCGCCGATACCCGTTTGTAAAACACTCCGCATACTTGGAATAATATTCGACAACAAACTTAAATGGACCCCACACATAAAAAGACTCAAAAGTACCTGCAAAATCAGAATGAACATTATTAAGTCACTTTCCCACCATACATGGGGAGCCAGCATGAAATCACTCAATATAGTTTATAAATCTCTTATATTATCCCAAATACATTATGGCTCTCAAATCTACATTACAGCCAAAGAAAATCTCTTAAAAATGTTAGACCCAATCCATAACGAGGGAATTCGTTTATCAACTGGAGCCTTCAGAACCAGCCCCACAAACAGCATTTTATGCCATGCTGGAGAACTTCCCCTCGATTTACTCAGAGAAAAAGAACTCTTAAACTATGGAATCAAAAGAAAAAGCACTCCTAATCACATAGGATTCACTAACTTCTTCAATAACAAAAGCACAAATAGAACGATCTCAATTAAAAACCCCTTACCATCAATACATAACATCTTCTTCCAACTGATCAACAAACTCAATATACGTACAGCTGTTAAAAACAAAATCACATACCCAAACCATCCCCTTTGGCTTTGGCAAATCAATATCAATACTGAGCTTCTACAACAAAGCAAACTCCACACAAATCCTAATATTATCACCTCAAAATTTCATGAAATTATCCAAGACAAATACCCGCTATTCACTAAAATATATACGGACGCATCCAAATCCACTCAAGGCGTTGGCTTTGCAATCTCCCATAATAATATCACACTACTTCACAAGCTTCCGCCAGAAACTTGTATATTTTCAGCAGAAACCCAAGCCATTTATGAAGCAATCGTATTTGCAAAGACGATCACATCAAACCACATCCTAATTTTAAGTGATTCACTCAGTGCCCTACTTGCTCTTAAAAATCCCTTACCTTCCAACGAATATTCTCAAAACATACAAAAAATATTAACCCCGACTTCAAACATCGAATTTATGTGGGTACCGTCCCACATAGGCATAACCGGTAACGAAATTGCTGACAAGGCAGCTAACCTTGCAATTAGAATCATCCCTCATCCAACATCCTCCGACTTATCGACAAATGACATCAAATCATCCATCAAGCATAAAACTTACTCTAGATGGCAAAAGTTTTGGGATACAATTCCTCTCTCAAATAAACTCAAAACAATTAAGAAAGATATTAAAAAATGGACCCCACCCTACCATCTCAACAGACGACAGGAAGTTGTCATCACAAGATGCAAAATCGGACACTCACTCCTAACCCACTCATTTCTCTTCAACAAAAATCCACCACCCACTTGTGATGAATGCCAAACTGACCTTTCAATCCATCACATAATCCAAGAATGCACGAAGTACCTGGATATAAGAAACCACCTTAAAATACCGCCGACTATGGAAGAAGCACTAAATGAAAATAACATCACCAAAATCATTACATTCTTAACTAAAATAAATCTTATAAATAAATTGTAATTATGTAAAAATTTCTGTAAATACTAAGTCATATCTTTTTTTTTGTTATTTTTACATTTAATGTACAAATATAATAATTGTATTTATAATAACTAATAATAACCTGTGATGTTGAAGCCTTATTTTCTAATAAAAAAAAAAAAAAAATAAATAAATAAATATTATCCAAGATTAAAATTATGTATATAACGATAATATATTTATCAGCAGGCAGCGGCTTTGTATTACAAATAATACTATTAATAACCGAAAAAATACGTAGTAGGTACGTATCATGTAGATACGGCCGTCAGGTTATGACGGCGTCAGCCACCATACATAATTATCGATACCGATTAAACTTCATCAGATATTTTTTGTTTTGTTGTTTTATATTTAAACATTATTATTAAACTATTACAAAATAATAAAAATAAAAATAAATAATATGTAAAATTCAATGTTTAAAAAACCAGTTAAAGGCGGAACTGAAAAGTACTGCATAAAACGAGCTGCTGAATTACTTAGTTGTGGAAATGATAAAAATCAGCGAAAGCTTAACTTTTTAAAAATAAAGGAAAGATGTTGGCTGTTTTTTTTTATGTATTATTAAATACTAATTTGACTATGTACCTAAATTTAAATTCTGAGTGTTTCTTATACTTCAGCTTTACTTAGAAGTCACAGTCGTTTTACTAAAGAAATAATTATGTTATAATACACCAATCCCTCTTCACACAACATACCCAAAAGGTGCCTCTGCCTGGTAAAGGAAGCTGAATGTTTTTTTGGGATAATTTATTAAATTTTGCCTTGGTACAGGTACAGGTTTATACAATAAGCAACTTTCAATTTATGTTGTATCATTTTATTCGTACACTGTAAGTACACTTGTTCCAGAAAAAAAATATTTTACTATCAAAAGTTCAAGTATAAAACTTATTTATATTTTTAATACAACATTTTCTTTAGGACCATACAATAATTTAACCATTTCAATAATGATCAAGAAGTGAGTTTACCTATGTTTTTACATAATTCAATCATAGATAAATTAATTAAAATTAGTTACATAGGTGCATACCTACATACTTATATATTATTATTAAATAATTTTAATCGTTAAATGTATCTATAAAATACCTATTTATTTATATACTGAAAAAATTGTTTAGGAAAATATTTGTGTTAATATTTGCAACGCAATCCCACTTGTTGAAAGTAGTGCGCTTACTAACGTTGATGAATTTGAAAGTAATGAACAACTTGTGAGTTCTTAAATCATATTATATGTACATATGTAGTAACTATTTATTTAAATACTGAAAAAATTGTTTAGGAAATTAAGTTGTGCCTATATTTGCAACTCAATCCCACTTGTTGAAAAAAATTAAATTTTAATAATTTAGTTACCAACATTATGTTTTGAAATAAACTATTGAAAAATTGTAATTTAATAATTACTTAGTATTACATTTTTTAAACTCTAACATGGAAATTTGTTTGTCAATCCTTGCAAAACGAGCAGAAAGTAAGAAGTTTTTGAATAATGAAATTTAGACATAGTTTTGTAAAAATAACATAGTTTTAATCTTGTGCTCGAATGTATTAAGTATTTTTATGTTATTCTATTTGTACCGCAGTGCAACATTGCCTCTAGAAATATCTGAATATATTCTTTTGATGAAGTATAAAAAAATAGAAAAAAATTTTATAACTTAATAAATTTAATGAATTTTAGAAATTGTTAAAATAAAAACTAAATAGGTACAGAGATATGATAAAATAAAAAAAAATTAAATTTTCATCAGTTGAACAGCAATTGTATAAAAAAATGTTTGGCCGGTCATATCTTTCTCCGCCTGATCCGAAGTACTCTCAGTCCGCCCTTGTCTGGTAGTGTTATTAATTTTTTTTAAAACCTAATAAGTCAATAGTTATTTTAGGTAAAGTTGTCCTTGTTTACTAAATTAGATATCGATCCTATTTCCCATTTTATGCAGTTACTAACGGTTTATTAACGTTAAAAACTCACGGATTTTCCTACATTTGAAGGAAAATAACATTAATTGTCGAAGAATGTCATTATATTCTAACTATAACGTCATTCTGCATTAACCATAACATATATACATACCTAGATATTTTTATTTGTATAATTGTATGAAAATAAGGATTTACTTACATAGGATTAAAAAGTGGAGATAAGATACTGTGTTTAGGGTAAACAAATGACATAGATCTTGTTAAATATGGATCTGTAGTCAATACATAACGACATCGTGACTTGTCATCTGTTATTGATCTTTCAATGTATAACATTAAAAAATTTAGCCAATTTTTATCGTGTAAAAGCAATGTACCTATGAATATAATTTAATTTATATACATATTTAAATCCTAAACATAAATGTATATTATGTTTTATAACAGCTTAGTGATCTTAAAGTTATTTTAACTAATTATATTACCGGACGAAATATAATTTAAAATTGTATCTATTTCATCAATGTTGATAACCATAAATTGACCGTTTCCTTCGAACATTGACTGTTTAAGTGGCATTAAATCATTATCCACTTTAACAATATACTCAACGGCACTACCCTCTGAAGAGATCCATCGATATTCATTATTCGCAATATCTTCAATTCTTTTTATAGGCAATGTAAATTTTGATAGAGTTAGAAAAGCAGTCAAATTTGCCGTATAGAAAGAAGTCAATATCATAATGAATATCCACCATGTAGCAAATATAAGTCTGGAAGAATCTATAAAAAAAATTATGTTTATTATCTAAGACATATATATTACATAAGTAACAAAATTTAATGAAATTAAGTATAAAATGTTTAAACATAAATAGATATTTAATTATTTCTTTTTTTCAACTACACATTTATCCAGTGGCGTACATACGGGGGGGGGGGGGGGGGGGG